TACCGCTTTGCCACACGGTGTCGCTACAGATCTTGGCTACCAACGTGAAGTTGGCGTCAGCGGTCCATGATTATATAGTCAAAGGGCTGTATACGTAGTTTCATTCTCAAAAGTGGAAGCAATTGGCGCTAGTGTACGGGGAGGTCAAAACTTTTACCGGTGTTGCGAAAAACGCCGGGATGGCCGCTCTCATGCTTCCTTCTCTCTGGAGTCTGCAGGAGTCTGGTTTTAATCGGCCGCGGGTGTGTCGACACCGGCTGTATCGCTCTTGGTGAGAGCGAAAGCCTTAAGTAGAAGAAGAAAAAGAAGAAAATAGCTTCCAGATTTGATACGGGAGTGTACGGAAGTCACCGATCGGCAGTAGTCGGCACTCGGCAGTGTTGGCTATATATTCTGTGGTGTTGGCCTTCGGGCGTCGGTACTCTTGCGCCTATTTCAGTTGTATTATATTGTAATTCGGTGGTTGTCGGTTGATGATAACTTTATTAAGATGTGAGAAAACCATTTCAGAACTTTAGTGAATATATTTAATCATCTTTGTAATATGCAGATTGATGCAGATATTAAAGTAATTTTGAATGAAACAGACGAATAAAGCACAGGGTAAACATTTAGTTTGCAAATCTTCATTTAAATCAATATTGTTCAAGATTTGAAATTGACATGTATTCAGCGTTCACGCTTATATTGCCTTTCTTTTTCTTAATGGAAGTAAAAAAGAAAATGTAAGCATGAATGTTAAATACACATTATGTTCACAATTATAAATCTTGAATAACACTGATTTATATATTGACATAAGTCATTCATTCAATTTCTCTTAAGAACACAGATTTAGAAAGTTAAAATTGTTACTTGTAGTACTGTGATAAAAATATTAATAATTAAAAGTAGGGATTTTTGACGTTGCTCCACCGGATGATTGATTTAATCATTAAAAGTATTACTTTTAGGTTATGTTAAGTCAAGAAGTCTGTTATGTTTTCATCAGCTTTTCATAAAAACACATTCGATGTCTTTGACATGAGAAACAAGTTTGAAAAATAGGTATATTGTTGCTTAGCATTGTGACATTATTGTGACATTACAAATCTTAAAAATAATGTTTATCAGAACTACAAAATTATATTGATAGCCTATACTATATAGGAATACAAATAGTACTTGAATTATTAATAAATTATAGACTTTACATGGCAAGTTAAGGTATAATTAAATTACACCTTATTACCAATGCATTTTCTATGTAAAACCAATCCAATATAAAATCTACTTTTAATGTTTAATTATTTTTCTTACAATGTCATAGCAGTTAATTACTTTTATATATTTTTTTTAATAAAAGAGGCTCAAATAAATGCATTTTTATTAAAATTTAAACAAAAGTAATTGAACTAAACATTTATTAATTTCAGAATCAAAGGTGGCATATGTTGAAAGATTTGAGTAACAAATTAAAGATATAAACAGAAGAAATTATAGAATGGTGATATATGGTGTTTATATTGTATCTAAATCTGGTGGTTTGATTTTCAATCATGATCACAATGTTCCAAAAATTGAGGTTGAGAAATCCTTTAATTTTCCACTTAATATTAAATTAAATTATGAGAATAAAAAAATAGTGGTAGCTTTTGGGCAGAAAGATGGAATACATGGTAAGAATATTGCAATTTATTTATTATTATCTATTACAATAACAGATTATTACAAAATGAAAGAAAAGTAAAGGCATCAAACTTTGCAATATTAATTTTTTTATTCAAACGATGGAAAAAAGTTAATGTAAATAGATGTTAATTTCACATATAATTTAAAAAATGCTATGTAACTATTTTAATAACATTCTCAAAATATTTCTTTTCTTTTTCATAAAAGTAAAATGTAATATTTGCAATTTTTATATTTTTGTGAATTATAAATATATTAGATAAATATATTGAAAATAAATTTATAATTATTAAATATATAAAGCAATAATTTGATAAACAATACTACTATAATACTGGCATAAGGAATTGGAATCAAAATATAAATGTAAATTGTAAAAATCATAATATAGAAAAGTCCAAGATTTTCTAATGTTTTGTAAAAATGTTTTAAAAAATTTATTTAATTAATGTTCAGTAATTAAAATTTTGAGCATTATTTTTCTTTCATATTATGTATTATTGTAATATGTTACTGAATATATTTTAATAAAGTATTAAAAGACCAAATATTTTTCAGTGGGTCATGTGTTGACAGCTGTGAATGGAGCTGCCATCACAGGCCGTGAGCTTGAAGATGGAAGAGACATTCTAGAGATGTTGGAGCAACCAGAAAATTTTCCTATAACATTGAAGTTTAGTCGGGCAAAAATGACAACAAACGAGAAAATATTTTTAGCTTCAATGTTCTATCCTCTTTTTGCAATAGCGAGTCAACTGAGTCCGGAACCGCGAAGTTCTGGGATTGAGATTCTTGAAGCAGATACATTTCGTTTATATTGTTTCCAGACATTGACAGGCATTAAGTTCATGATAGTAGCAGAGCCATCACAGCCAGGCGTGGAAATTTTGTTGAAGAGAGTATATGATTTATATGCAGATTATGCACTAAAAAATCCATTTTACGCGCTGGAAATGCCTATTCGATGTGAATTATTCGAAACTAATTTACAGACATTACTGGAAACTGTAGAAAAATCTGGGATAAGCAATGTTTAATATTGATTTACATATAAGTTGTTAATAAAATTAAAATAATTAAAATATAAGAAAATAATATTTTTTTTAATAATTGTCCTTTTTACACATTCCGTTATGTAAAATTTAATATTATCAAATAATTAGACTTTAGCTTTGCTTAAGTTAAATCTTATACGTATATATTTTTTATTTAATTTTTGTAAAAATATTTTATTTTATTATTCATTTTAATTATTTATTTTTGTTCAATTGTGTTTTGAAAGGTTTATTTGAGAGACTATTGAATTAATGATACAAGAAGAGATTATTGTAATGGTAATGCTGCAATTTAATTGTATAATATTTGAACTATGTAATGTTAAATTTGTATAATTTAAACAAAGATATATACAACCTAAAATAAGCTGGTAAACACAAATAACATGTGTACGCTAGTATTCAAAGTATAATATTCAATAAGTAAATAGTAAAGTTAGTAATAATTTTTACTAATCTCAGATCTTTATCCAAAAATTAATTATCCTTATATATTTAATATTTTTCTTGTCTAAAATAAATTATTGAATGTTAATTGATGAACTTTTTCATCCAATTTAACATCAAACTCTATTGTTTTATAGAGAATATCTCTGAAATCATACGTTGATAATATAACAACTCATAAGATTTGAATTTATAATAATAATGAATATGTTAGTTTATGTTGTATTCATTATATCCATTGCAAATAATTAATAAAATTTAATTTGTTTAGGTATATATATATATATATATATATAAGTATATCGGTATTTATATTATATTTAAATGAATGTTTAATATCTTTATCCTTAAAACTGAAAAGTCTTATAAATATGTTCTTGCGGATTTCTTTGTTCACGGTACTATATTCCATTGCCGTTTTAAATCAGGCTCTGTAATCTACAAGATAAAAGAAAGTATTTTAATATACTAAGATAAAGTTGGGAGAGGAGGAGGAGATTATAAATCAAATTTGATCTTTTAATACCTTCATTGTTAAATTATCTATGCAGGCATTACGTATACGTGCAGCAGTCGCAGGTGCATCAAGTCTAAAGTAGCCATGAATATTCATATCTTTACGCGCAGACTTAATTGCCTCCTTGATAGCAAAAAACGCAGATGATGCTAGAAATAACGGTGGTTCGCCAACAGCCTGTTATATTATGTCTTACAATTAATACAATGAGTAAATGAGTAATATATAATATTTACTATAATTCTATTGCCAGCTCTATTCCTTTATTTTGAAATTAAACTGGCATACTAATGTATAAAAACGAAAAATATTTGAATTTACATAAGAAAAAGTTATACCTTAGAAGAATATATTGCTCTTGGATTAGAAACTCCTTTTAATAAAGAAACATTAAATTCCTGAGGTATGTCGGTGAAGCCTGGTAATTTGTATGCGCCAGGTCCTCTGCTGAATAAGGTCCCTGTTGGTGAGTAAATCATTTCTTCTAATGTGAATAAACCGTATCCTTGAACGAAAGCTCCTTCAACTTGTCCTATATCGATAGCTGGATTTAAACTCTCTCCCAAATCCATGACAATGTCTGTTCGTAAAACCTGTATTGATTGAAGAATATTATTAATGTACGTTTTATGATCCTTATATATATATCGTGCATGCTTTTATTTTATAATGTTTTTGGAAAACAATCTTTATAAAGTTATTTCGAATGTAATTAAACTTTATAAAGATTGTTTTCTATCATTTATCATCATGTAATTTATATCTCTAATGTAAAAACTACGAATTTTCTACGAAAATAATGAGACTGATTCATTTCTAAAAACTAATCTTTTAAAAAAGTACGTTTGACATTTAAAATTACAATTCAGTTGGAATTTTATTGTTAGAATTTTGTTAAGCCAATGCATAATTGAATTGAGTATAATTCCATCCATACGATCAAATAATCATGAGGAAAAAACATCGATTGTATTATCAAAATAAGATATGAAATAAGATTATCATAAATAACTTGATAATTTATATTTTATTTATGTGTTAATCTGCCAATCACGCTCAATCAAATACAATCAATTTCTGTATACTTTTCATGTTTCAGATATTATTGATTTCGATGCATTTTTTTTAAATGTCTTGTATTCTTAATATATGTATATTTGCTTTTTTTCTTGCATTTTTGTGAAGTTTATCAAGATGCAAATCTGATGATTGAATATTTTCAAACTCTATTTTTATGACGCATTTAATAAATATAATGTTATGTTCTCTTACTTTGCGTTCCATTTTTAATATTATATACTTATTTGTCCTGTATAATAACGTACAGAGTGTTCGAAAATTCAACCGACAAATTTTCAGAGTTTGTCGGGGCACTCCAAAAGGATCATTTTTTAGAAATGGACCTAGGGTCGAAAGCGTGTCGTTACACCGCTACGGCGTGTTCGAAAAAGGTCGGACCTCGAAATATCTCAAAAAATATAAGTTATAAAAAATTGTTTTAGATAAAAATTGTAGGGTGAGATCTATTTTATCTTTTTACCCTCTACAACTTATATTTTTTTAGATATTTCGAGGTCCGACCTTTTTCGAACACTGTCTGCCGTAGCGGTGTAACGACACGCTTCCGACCCCGACTCCATTTGCAAAAAATGATCCTTTTGGTGCCCCCAACAATCTCTGAAAGTTTGTCGGTTGAATTTTTGAACACTCTGTATATAATATGAGAATATACATTCTTATTTACTTTGCACTTAGCACTCGTTGAATGAATCAAATTGTGTACAACTGATTACGTTAAGATTTCAATTAAAATTCAGCTTTGATATTTAATAGTGTTACATATATGGTATAAAAGATGTACCTGATGATCACCAGTAAGACAATCAACTTCCACCTCTGTACAAGCAACACCGTACGTAAAATAATTAAAGGGATTGCCTGTATTAGTTTCGAAAGAATATCCTATGTTGGGCGTTTGATAGAAACCGGTAGCGGACAGACTAATCCTTTGACAATATGCTACTTTTATCCACTCTTCCCAAGTACCTTCTGGATCACTATTAATTATCGGTTGTAATCGGTTCATGAGTTCCTTGCATGCATTCTGCAAAATTAATTTCTATGTTATTTAATTTACTTTTATTTGTATACGATAAATATTTGTAATATATTATTTACATACCATAACAGCCATGCCATTGAGATCAGATCCGCAACTCGCTGCAGTTGCAGATGTATTAGGGACTTTGTCGGTGGCCGTTTCGACGATATGTATCTTGGCTGGATTTACTTTTAATATTCTGCTAGCAATCTGGCATAATATAATGAATGTAATTTAATTTTAATTATCAGTAGACACGGTAATGTCTCGGTGCCAAGTATGACACTGAGACCGCCCCGTAGATATATAACATAATATATATATACAGGGTGTCCGGTAATAACCGGATAATATCTCGTGGGCTGGTAGAGCAGATTAAACTGAACAAAAAAGTCCTCTACCATTTTGCAAAATTCGCAATCGTTAACGAGATATTAATTTTTGAAGATTGACGAATAAACGCGTAT